ATTTTCAGCACAATCATGTCACCTACAGATAGGGACTTTTTTATTTCTCTCCAGGCAGTGTGCCATTAGTTTCCTCTCTGTGACTCATGTCCCTGGCAAGAACTTCCAGTTTTATACAACACAAGACCTACAAGAGAGGCCATCCTTTCTTGTTTCCACTCTAAGGAGGAAAGTGTCCAGTTCCTCACCATTAAAAATGAGATTGAAGTTTTTGTTTGAATTGGTTTTTATCAAGTAGAGAGATTTCCCTTGTACTTTTATTATTCTAAGATTTTTTAAAATTATTAATGGATGCTGGATTTTTTCAGTATTGTCACTGAAATTTTTTCTTTTCACTTGTCAATATGATGTGTCACACTAATTAATTTTAAAATATTAAACCAGGCTTGAATCTTTACAGTGAGCCTCGACTGGTCATGGTGTATAACTTTTCTTATACTTAATTGAATTATATTTGTTGCTACTACTTTGTAAGGATTTAAAAATCTATATTTATAATGGACAGTAGTCTGTACTTGTTCCTGAATTTTTTGAATCTTGTCTTTTTCTGGCTTTCAGTAACAAGACAATGCTGGCTTTATAGAATTAATTAGAAAGTGTTCACTTCTATTTACTGGAAGTCATTGTATGCAATTGATATTCTTTTTTAAATAGTTGGTAAAATTTTCCAGGGAAAGAATCTGGGCAGAGACCTATTTTAATAGCTCACTTTTTCCATTTCATGAAGAATGCATTGGAAATTTTCAGGCAATATGGTGAAAACATTTGCAGTGAGAAATGTCCCCTCCAGCTCCATCCTGTTAAGGAAATGCCAACACACGGATGGCAGGCAAGGGACAAGAGGTAAGACATAGGGGTAAAACAGGAAGCTGTTGGAGGGGTCAGAAAGTCTAAAACATGTATCTAGATTTGAGAATCAACCAAAGAGCAGCTCCAGGAAAGACAACTGTGAGGGAAATAATTTATTCAGAGACACACTGAAGGGGAAGCTAGATGGAGCTGAAGAGAGCATTCATGAAATAAGAGCTAAGGAACTCAGCTGGAATGCTGTACAGAGACATGGAGGGGTAATGGAGCTTGGAAGTCCAAAGGAGGCCTGAGCAAGAGAACATGAAGAGTTCCGAACACTGAGGGAGAGACTATAAAGACGAACCGGAATCTAGAGGCAGTAAAACAAAACTACAGAAGGCGTGGTACCCACTACCCAATCTCCCTCCATCACAATAGACTATTATGTATTTTATGACCTTGAAAAGAGAAAAAACTCTAAATCTCCAAACACAAGGTCTTGGCAAGGAGAAGGAAGTGTTCATTATGCTAATGTGGCCAGTATGTAACATAGACAGGTATTGCAGCACCCCTATGTGCCTCATAAATATGTACAACTGCAGGATGTTAATTGAAAGTTTTTTAAAGTGTGGAAGGAGGTAGAAATGCTAACCACCCACATTATCATGCACTCCATTAATGTATGCAATTAAAATAATAACAAAAACTTCAGAAGGTTGGTAAGGGAAGACTTAAAATGTTTCTAGGGAGAAAATAAACTAATATATGAGGGATAAGAAGATCATAATTGTATTAAGGCATTAGGAACCATTTCACAGGGCAGAAGGCAATAATAATTGATCTAGAATTCTCTGCTGGGCTACATTATGACTCAAGGCTAAAGGCTGAGTAAAAAGATTTACACATGTATTCCAGACCTAGAAAGACCAAGGATCCCTACAAGGAAAGTTTTCTTAGAAAAAAGAAATATGTGAATGTGTGTAAATATCAAGTGTGGGCAAAGGTGCTGGTAGACAAGAACTCCCAGATGTAGGTGGCAGCTGTGAGACTTCATACTTCACATTTTACAGGCATTAGTGAAGTTCAGGTCAATCCTAGGACCCAGAAGCCCTGCTTCTCTGTTTCAACCTGGATCAGGGACTTCTGCATGTGTAAACCAGGTGATGAGCACAGTACAGGGCTTTGCAACATCGTTGGTAAGATTCAAAACTGGGAAATGACCTAATGTTCATCATCTGGGAAATGTGTGCATAAATTCTGGTAGAGTCTTACTATGGAAAGTCATTCCGCCATAAGAAAATTAATTCTGTTTTGTGTGCATGTGACTGGATAGTGCTCAGAAAATGAGGTTGAATTTTAAAAGGCATGACTAATTATATGTCCAGAACTGTCACACTTATGTGAGCAAAAATTATACAAAAGAATACTAAAACTATTTCAAGAACTAACCTTACTCTTGCATGTATATGTGTGTGCGAAGAAGGTATACAAAAACTTTGACAGAACGGATGCACACAGCTTTATATTACAGTTACTACGGTGTGCTCTTTTATGCAGAGATTGAGAGGAAATTGTCTGAGTCCATTTCTCATCACTGTAATGAAATACGTGAGGCTGGAAAATTATAAAGAAAGAAGGTTTGTGTGGTTCACAGCTAGGGTTCTGGGGCATGGGGCTGGCACTGGCCTCTGAGGGGAGGGCTCTCCCATCTACATCACCTCACAGCAGGACCATGGGTAGGAGCAAGTCTCCCATCTTGAGACAGAGAGCTAAATGGAGCCTGGGGTCCACAGTCCCTTCCGGTCCCAGCCTACCCAAGTTCCTCCTGCTGGGCCCTGCCTTTTCAAGGTCTTCTGCCTCCCACCCTCTGCAACACCTGAACCCATCGGGGACAAAAGCCACCCAAAGCATCGCAGAATTTCTATCAGGAAAGAAAATAAAGGGAACTTTACTGTATGGGTGCTATTTCTTCCTCATTTAAAGTACTCTTATTTGAAGAAACAAATTTCATTCCACAATACACAGCAGGGTTTTTGTGCTATCAGTCACTTTCCTGTATTAGGAAGAGGGTGGATTGCATGAGACAAAGGGGACCCTGAGACACCAGTGAGAGACTGGCGGGATGGCAGTGGCTCAAATTAGGCTGGGGCTGGCCAGGGCTGGAGAGAAGGCTCTGGGATACACAGAAGCACGGAGACCCAAGAGTCATCACGACCTTGCTTCAGTTATCTGTAGCTGCATAACAAAAGCCCCCAAGATGGTAAGTGCTTCTCTTGTTCTGTGAGCTGACCTGGCAACCGTGCTTGGCCGTCCTACACTTGCCAGCTGTCCTTGGGAGGTTTCTGTGATGACAGGGATGGCTCAGCTTCTACAGCCACATTTCTCTGCACCCTGTCTGTCCCCAGCAGTCCTCAAGGGAACCGGCCCCTGTGCATAGCACGAGTCTCACCCCTGCATCACCTTGGCTGACGACCCTCGGCCTCAACAAGTCACAGCGAAAGGTAGAAGTACACGAGTGAGGAGTGGTGTGATTCACTGGGGCCATTATGCCAACCAGCAATCTACCAACGAAGGCTTAAAACAATTGAGACAATATTGTATAGACATAGAGATAAACAAAGAACAAAAGCCAATAAACTACCTCAGGGAAGGATAAACAGATAAAGCAATTAAGAACAAGGCAGGATGATTTTTCCTACTATAAATCAAGAATTACTGTAAGAGTGAGATAGGACTTTTTAACAAGGAGCCAAAAGCACTAACCATAAAATAAAGGATTGATCAATTTGGTTACATTAAAGTTATGAATGTTAACCAAAAGGCGCCTGAAAGAGAGTAGGAAGATAAGATATGTGTAAGCAATGGAGAGCCAGTGCCCAAATGATAGGGGAATTCTGTTCAGCAACTTGGACAGCATAAACAGCCCAGTAGATTCCATCAGTGGACTCTCAGGCATTAAATCTAAGATACATAATATATAGGCATGCTAGAAATATGAAATCCAATTGGCCAGTAAACACCTACTCAACCTCATTATGAATTAGGAAAAGAAAAATTAACACCAGGGTGAGAGACCATTACATACTATCAGGTGACTAAAATGTAAATATCCAACAGTACCAGACGTCATTTCCTGGTGGGGAGGTGATGCTTTTACACAGAATCTACTTAGGGGATTTTTAGAGGAGCAGACTGGCAACACCCCAAGTGTCTATCAGTTGTAAAAGGCATTGATAAATTGTAGAACCCTTGAAATGAAAATGAGTAAGCAACATCCCTGCGTATCAGCACAGATGACTCTCACAAGTAAATAATCAGCTAAAGAAGCAAGTCACAAAGCACTTGTGCAGGCCAAGCTCCTTGCTGGAAAAATCGATAGCAAGCAAAACCTAGACTCTGTGGTTCAGGGATGTGTGTGTTGGAGGCAAAGCGATAAATAAAAGTGAGACAACTGGTATCAAAAGAAGTCAGGACAGTGGTGTCCTCAAGGAGAGGAAGGGGATGTGGCAGGAGAGGGAGGAGGACACTTGGGTCCTCTCTAAAACTCTGGCTAATCTTTGGCTTTTGACCTGGGCAATGGTTGTACCATTGCCCCTTCTACAAGCATTCATGGAAAGAAAAAAATCATTAACATGGATGAGGGTGGGTGAGGAACACCAGGGAAGGAACTCTTGCCAAGAGGCCCATGGCATTTAGAGTGAAATCACTGGAGACACAGAAGGCTCTGTGGTCAGAACAGACATCCAGAGGTGTAATGGGGGCATCTGAGCATGCATTAGACATGGCAGATTTGGCTTCTTTCCTGGGTTCTAAGTGGCTTTGTCGTGGAAAGCTGATCGATTTTTAGCCTTTATCTTTGTGGTAAGTCTGAGACATTCAGCCAAGGAGGCAGTCAGCCACATGGCTTTGGTGCTCAGTGAAGTCTGGAGTTGGGGAAGAAGGTGCCCTCTGACACAGCAACACGGGGGTGTGGTGAAGGCTAGCAGATGGGCTGGGGTTAGACATGGAGATCCTCGGCAGCTCCGCCCAGAACTGCTCCACGGCAGGGTGGGTGCAGTCAGACTGCGGAGAGTGGAAAGAGAGAGAACCTGCGGGATGAGAAATATTCTCCTCGCTCATCATGAGGTCCATGACCAAGGCTCCTGTAACAGACGACAGAATAACAAGAGATCAGCTATATATTTAATTTAATATAGCTTTACTGTGGCATGGGGGTGTTCATAAGGAAACAGAAACTTCAGACACAACGTTCCTCTTTTATTCTGGCTCTGATGAAAGGTGGGCACTTCGTGGTGAAATGTGATTGGATAGTCATGGAAAAGCGTGATTGGACAGTTGTGGCAAAGCTAATTGATGGGCCAGTCATGGAAAAGGGCGATTCTGTGCATGGTTTTATGGAAGACATGATCAAATGGTATTAAAGTACAGGGGACTTGCAAGGCCCGTATGCTCAGATTCTTCTCTGTGTGCCCGTGTCTTCAGAGATAAGGATGCCCTTGTCCTCCAAGTATACAGAGGGTCCCTCTCACATGGAGGTTTTAGGTCCTGCTTCACAGGGAGGTTGGAAAATCCTCCCTTGGCGTGGTGGCCTGCCATGTGACCCTCCTGCTTCTGCTGTTTCCCGAGGCAAGCGTCCCTTGTGTTTTGGGGTAACATTACCCAAGCCCTGGGAATAGCACAAGCAGGCACCCAGTCAGGACAGAGCCCAGCTTTGCCCTCAGGCATCCAGACAGACCATCGTGGAGACCCTGCCCCTCATCTCATGGCCACGGCACCTCGTTTCCTGGGCAGGCAGCTCAGAGTTCTCAGCCCCAAACTCACCCAAGCGACATCACTACACTTCCAATTCCCACAGCTGCCTTTTGAACACTTCCACCCCGGCGGAGATGGAGCTGCGTGCTCGTGGAAGACTCACTCATTATGTGCGCATTGTTTCAAGCTGTCCTGTAATCACGAAACAAATTCATAGCAAGCTGAAACCTAATTGCATTATATCATGTGAATAATTGAGAGACAGCGGGAAGGATCTCTCTTCCCCTTGAGGGTTGGACACCTGGGAGAGACTCTTAACAAGTGTCACTGAGGGAGGGAAGTGACAGTCTTCAAGGGCCAGACGGAGCCCGGGCACCATCCTGCCTACTGTTCGAGCACTACCTGGAGGGAGCAGGTGGGTCCCAGCAGGGGCGGGGTCTCGGGCACAGGGCCCCCAGCTGGCCATGGCAGGGGCAGGATGTGGCCCACAGCTGTCTGAGTTCAAAGCCTTTCCTCCCAGGCCAGTGTCTTCCACGACCACCCCCACTCGTGTCCTCTTGGTTCCTGGTGTCCAACCACGTGGATCACTTCCAGGGGCAGCTGCCAGCTGAGAGTGTCCCGGGTGGAGGTGACCCTGCGTGTTTGGGGAGCAGCTTCTCTCCAGATTCTTCTATTTCCTCCCTTCCTGAGCTGCTTCCCGTCAGCAAGCAAAGGTCTCTGCAGCGGCCAGGGCTCAGCCTCCTGTGCCCATGGTCATTCTTAAGACAGCAACCCTGGGGCAGCAAGAACTGACCCCGGAGGAGATTATGCCTCTTCGGTGAGACCACGCGGGCAGCTGTCTCCCCCTGGGTGTTCTCAGTACTCACCCTGGAAGCAGCCGTGGGGTCATTCTGTTGCTCACCGTTGTGGCTTTGCTATTTCCGGTGACCTTGCCAGCCCTGTTGGATGCCAGGACTCCTCGGAGAAACCACATCTGGTGGGGACGTTTGCTTCAGAACTTCCAGCCCCTCGCCTGGGCTCAAAGCAGGTTTAAAATAATAGATGAGCGGGTGCTAAAGGCTTTCTATGTGCAGCTTTTCTGCATCCTGGCATGCAGAGGTTGTGCTCATTTGGGAGAGATGCTGTTAGGAGGCCCATTCTACAGGTGAGGAAACCCACCCACCCACAGCACCCAGCTTGGAGAGGGGAGCCAGGCTGAAGCCTCCCTGTCCGAGGTGCACAAGAACTGACCTTAAAAGTCACCTCCCGGGGCTTGTACTGCTGCCTTCAGCGTTCCCTGGTCAGCTCCGCAAAGGTCAGGCCTGAAGGGGATGGGGCGGGAGCAGGACAGGAGCCCCCAGTCTCGCTAAATTGTGGCACAGGCTTCACCAGTCTGGGAAACATTTGCTTTCTCCTCCTCGTGTTCCTCAGCTGGAGTCCTTTCTCCGGAATGAATGCACAGGAAGCAGCTCATTAAGCGAACCAAGTGTATTTGTTCCTCTGCTTGAGACTGTGGAAGCTAAAGATTTAAATCGGGGAGCACTGGGAGGACACAGGCAAGAGAACAAAAGAAGCAGCAATTTTGAAAGCCCGGATTAGCCTTGAGGCGCCTCTGCTTTTCCATCCATGGCTTGCACGTGGAAGGTTTGTGTATGGCCACCTCCTGCCTCTTGTGTAGTAATAGTATTTCTCATGCTACAGAGGCCTGGCTGCAAGACAGACAGCGAGCAGAGCCTGGGGTGCCAATGCTGCCAAGGTAAAAGTCTCAGAGAGGAAGGGACAACTCTGGGTGCCAGAGGGGCCTGGGCTAGGCAGGGGGGTGCCGTAGTGGGGGTGCTTTATGTGGGGAAGTCTGCAGCCAGTATAGAACAGCATGACCCAGATCGGTACTGGATGCTATTTCTGGATTTATTTTTATTTTTTAACTCCAAAGACCACAGACTAGAACAGAGATTTCATCTTGGAAGCAATTTCAGGAACGTATGCACAAGTTTCCAGTGGTTACATCTGACTCGGGGTGAGAGAGCAGGAACCCAGAGCCGCCAGAGAGCCATGTGGAAGGAGGAGAGAATTTCTGTAATTTTCAAAGCTTAGATTTATTGCCATATTCAAGAATTAATTATAGCCAGAGGTCCCCGAGATTAAGGAGAAAAGGAAAAAGGAGCAATGTGACAATTCCACATCTGGCAGGAGGCACAGCTGCTTCGGTTTACAAAGCTGTTCCCTCGCCCGGCACCCTGAACTGGGAAACAGTCCCACCTTGCTAGCTGCCTCCGGGGGCCTAAGAACCAGCAGCATCATTAGCATCTTTTTTCCCTCCTGAGTCCTAGGGAGAAAATCACATCCTCAGTATAGCTGGCATCTGTGTCTGGAGCTTTAAAATGAAGATATACAGCCAGTGGTCTCTGGTCCCTCCTCAAGGTAACCTCTGCCGGCTCGTCACGTGCTTAACAAGAGCTCTGGCCAAGGCAGTGAAAAATGGCCTCAGAGGAGACACCAGCAGAGCCCGGCCAGGTAGGAGGAGGGGAGAGGGCGGAAGGTTTCAGACTCAGGTGAGGAGGGACTGGGCGATGTGCGGAGGACAGAGGGAGCCTTGAGCAGAATTCGGCCTCGTCCTGTGTGGGGTCCGTGTGCCCTCTTCTTTAGCACAGCACCCAACTAGAGCTTGGAAGACACACCAAGGACTATTAGCACTTTTGGTTTTTTTTTTTTTAAGAGTGTGAGAGTCAAGTAGCACTGTTTTTAAAAATGCCTGTTAGGTGTTCAGCAGTAGGAGTGACACGAAGAGTCATGATGGGGACACAGGCCTCTCATCTCAGCAGTCTGGGAGGCTGAGGCAAGAGGATCACTAATTTGAGCCCAGCCTGGACAACTTAGCAACTTAGTGAGACCCTGTCTCGAAATAAAAAATACAAAAGAAGGGATAGGGATGCAGTGCAGAGGCCCTGGGTTCAATTCCCAGTACCACAAAAATTAAAAATCCAGAGTGGTGTGAGCCAAGCTGGAGATGATTCTGCATCCTTTGAAAAACAGGTTAGGTTAGGGTGGGGCTGGGGACTCGGATGGCCACAGAGGCCCTAGGAAGGGACTGAGATGGGACAGAACCGAAGCAGGCCTGAGGGAGCAAAGAGAACGGGGCTAGGCAAAGAGAAGAGGACTGGGTCAGTGTGGCCCCTTGGACAGCTGCGGTACCGGAGCCAGGGCAGGAAGCAGCACACTAGGAGCAGCAAGGGGCCTCCGCCTGGGCCCCAGGAGGTGGGCAGCAGGATGGGGTGGCCAGCTGGGAGCAGGTGGTACATTCAAGCCCCCTGAACTGGGCCAAGGAGCTCCAAAGCCAAGTGCCACGCTTCGTGCTCCTTTGTTCCTGTAGGGGATGAAAAACAGGATGAAGAATAACACGGGGGTGAGATAACAGCCCAGGGCATGGGCAGGAAGTGCCAGGCCCAGCTCTGCCCTCAAGGACCACGCTGACCGGGTGTCCTCCCGCCCACAGAATAATTAGCTCCAACCTCTCCCTTCCTTCTTCCTCTCTTCCTTCCATACCACCCTCTTCCCCTCAGGGCCGAAGCACACAGTGCCAGGCTTTGTCAGAAGGAGACAGAGGGTAGACCCTGCTCCTGGAAAGCATGCTGAGTCCGGCTATGTGGAAAGTTCCTCAGCCCGGGAAGATGAGGGGGAATGGAACACATCTGTGCTCCGAGGTGAGAGGTGACTTTAGAAAAACCCCAGAATTCTGCTAAACACACATCCGGGTGACAAGGGATAGCGTGAGGGAGAATTGGGGCCATGTGGAACAAACCCACCCTCCAGGCCACCGAAGCTGGGATTCCACGCCTGGGGTGGCAGGAGAATGACACCCTCATGGGCTTTGTAGGAGCACAAAGGAGGGTGCCTAGGTGCGGGGTGCTCTGGGGCTTAGTGTCCCAGAGTCAGGAGACCCCAGGCTTTCGGAAGGAAAGTGGGAGAGGACCTAAGGGGCCTGGTGGTGCCAGGAGAGCCCTGGCCCCAGCCCAGAGCCGCAAGAGGACCAGTTTACATCCTTGCCCCAGTGTGGGGCGGAAGTGTCAGGAGCCAGGCGCCAGGCTCTTTCCTGCTCCTTGAGCCAAGTTGAGATCCTGACTAAAAGTGAGCCCCGTGACCTCTCTTCCCCTGTAAGCTTCTCAGTTACTCTGTGCACAGAGGAAGAAACTTTGCTCCAGCTCCTGCTCCTGCTTAATCCCAGCTATGGAGCGGGTTGCCCCAGAACCCTGCCAGCCCATTGTGGCCACAGCCCCCAGAGACCAGCAAGCCTTCTAGTCACTTTCCAGCAAGCACCACACCCTGCCCTTGGCCCAGAGTCGCCCCAAGAGGAACCCTGAGTTTCACCCTCATCTCCCTTCAGTCCTGCCCAAGGGTGTCCCTGGTGTGCCTCCGTCCCCTGCGAGTTTCCCTTAACTGCTGCCACCACCCTGACTTCCCCACATGCCCAAGTGCAAGGGCAGATGAAATGCCCTTGGCTGGGTGGCAGCCAGGCAGAACAGAAACCTCTGAGGGTTCCCTGCCAGCCACCAGCCAACTGCAACCCAGGCACAGGCAGTGGGTGCCAAGGAGTGCAGAAGAGGAGGAGGGGAAGAGGGAGGAGGGGG